TCGATGTCTTCGTCTGCAAGTACATAGGAGGAAATCCGTTCGATTCTTGTACTGGGACTAACGTCCGTTGAATGAATCGCAACATATCGATCACGGAAGGCCGATCCAGCAGAGTACAGCTCACTGGCGCCATAGGGCGTCACGACACTCTCACGAGGCAGCGCTGTCGGGACGCTGTCTCCGTGCAGTGTATAGGCAAAGACAGCCCAGACCTGTTCTTTCAGGTTTTGTGCCGATACTGGAGTAGTGGCTTGCAGCACTGCAGTAGCCAGAGCCAAGAGGATTTGGCGTGAGGACCACATCTTTCAGGCTGGGAGTTTGAATGAGTCTAGTAGTGTATATTGTTCATAGGATTGATGCTTTGGTCACTCACTCCAAGACTCCAACTGACAGAGCCGAAGGAAACGAGACGGGGCTGGGAGAACTCCACCATATATGCTGGGAACTTGGAATAGTCGTCCTGATGGAACAGTATCCTCCAGTGTACTATTTAACCTGATAAGTCTGCCTGACCTTCGTCCTGTCTTGACCTTCGGGCCTCATTTCCATGGTTCCGATGTTGATGCAATGAGTTGCTCCTGTCGTTACCTAGTTCTAGATTCATTGGAAAGCCGTGTCAACCACTATAGGAGTCTGGCCAGTGGAGTCAGTACTGCAACTGCCGCAATTAGTGCTTGCATGGCCTCCTTTGAATATTGGATGTTTGCTGCCATGTCCATTGCTGCCACTTTAACGAGCTTGAATGACGCGATATACACTTCGTAACATGACGATATCGTAGCCATGAACATTTTCATGACCTACTAGTCTGCTCATGGTGGAAAGGGTCTCCAATTGGCCTGGAGGACTCCGGTGAAACTTCGCAGCAGACTACATGGCCGACTTGATGAGTCGATGACGCCTAGACGGAAGGTAGCATTCAGGTGGACGCAACCATGGGAGTCACCACCCCGCCGTAGCAGAGGACAGGGTACATTTTAGTAGAAGCATATCTTGCAAACGAAGAGGGATAGAGTCTGATTTGACTCTCAGTCAACAACAAGCTGTCTTGTGGATAAGTACTTGAAGTCAAGTCTGGGTGTTGAAGGAAATATACGGCAGCCAGGCAGCCAGGCAGCCAGGAGGCACGCTAAGTCCCAAAGCGGGATTGGTGATCGCTGGATCTATAAGTTTGGCAACTGGCGGCCTGGAGACTAGCCTGGGAAGTAGCCTAGGTAGTATGCAGGAATACAGTATAAAGTTAGTACCTAGTAGCTGGAGAGGGGGGTGATAAGAATTATCAACATAGGGTGAAGGTGAAACACATAGTAGTGAATCATTCGACGTGTACGGAGTACTCCAGTAGTTGCCTATTACCTAGTAACACCCAGCTCCCCCTACCTTAGTTTAAGGTTGGTGACCCAAAAGAGAAGCAGGCCGGATTCCGGCCGGGGGACAGAAAAATCTGACTGAGTAGTAGTCAGCAGCTGGAGAACCTCCGTCTCTCCGCCCGTCTCAACTTAACCTAACCACTTCTAAAGCCCTACGCTTGCGCCCTACCCCTAAGCCCTCATTTCTGCTCTTGGAAAGGACAGGCATCTCCCTCCCATCGGGAATCGTCCCTATCATGGCCGACATAACTGCAACAGGCCCCAAAGTTGAGGATTCTATAACCTCTGAACTCCCCCCGCTCCCGACCGAGACTGACAGCCATGGTGAGTTGTGCTGGGGGCGACCTGAGAAGGAGGCGATGCTTCCCCGTTTGCTGCTTGCTCTGATCCCAACCCAATCCGATCTAAACAATCATTGCATGGCTTTGGACGTCACAAGACTATACAGTGCTACTGCTCAACTACCTTGCTATGTTGCTAACTTGTTTGCTGCTTAAGTGACTCCCAAAATGTCGCATCCCCTCGAGGAAGAGGACGGCTCGGTGTCGCCCCGGGCTTCCAAAAAACGTCGTCTCGAATCCGAGCCGACCGACCTCGTCTTGCCGCCACACCCCAGTGAATTGACAGCAGACCAAGTTCCTGGAGATCAGATCGAACAAGAACTAGCATCTGCGTTGGGCCCCAGCATCGTGGACACGGTGGAACATCCAGAAGACACCCCGACTCAACTCGATAGCGCTCAACTCGATGGTGCTCAACTCGATGGTGCTCAACTCGATGGCGCTCAACTCGACGGCGCCCAACTCGATGGCACGGCAACGGACACCGCAGTTGCGCCCGAGGTGACTGCCGATATTGATTCGGATATGGCTACTGTGATCTCGAGCATCATGAATCACGCTGAACGTGTAGAGGAACAAGTTGTGATCGGTCAGCAACAGCTGGCGGACACCACAAGTCCGGCCCCGAAAGGCATGGTTTTCGTCAAGGCCAACTCACACCTGAAGAGTCAGAGTTTGCCTATTTTGGACAACTTGGTATGTGAAACAGTGTTTGAGATGTACTTGAAAAATCAAGAACGAAAGCAGCTGACAAAATACCCTCCCACAGTCTACCCAAATCCTCTCTTTGCTTGCCAAGTCTTCGTATCAAGAAATCACCTCGTTCGTTTCCGAGCCGGAGACGGAGAGTGGCCAAGCCTACGCTACCATGCGCTCGCTGTTCGATCACACGAAGAAGGTCTACTCCACCAAGAAGTCTTTTCTGTCTCCGACCGAACTGGAGCTTACCGAGCCGTCGCAAGTTGATATCATTCGAAAAGCGAACCTGGCGTCCTTCGTCTCCAGCATCTTTGGCACACAGGAGATTGGATTTTCTGAGCTCAACGACAACTTCCTGGATGTGTTTGTCCCCGAAGGCGGTCGTCTTCTCAAGGTGCAAGGTGCTTTGTTCCTGGAACTCAAGACTCAGGCATTCATTGCATCCATGAACAATTCAGAGCGAACCCGAACAGAGTTGCTCTATGATCTCTTCCCAGATGACCTGGAGCAACAGCTCCTGGACCGCCGCTCAGGAACTCGCCAGCTGGCTCCCAGCGAGGCCGACTTTGTCAAGCGCGCCGGATCGCGCCGTGACATTCTACTTAGCGACGTCAACAACGAGGAAGCCATGAAAGCTTTGCCAGACAAATACCATTGGGAGGACTTCCTCCGGGACCTGAGCTCTTACATCACCAAGAATTTTGACACTATCAGCAACCAACAGGTCTGACCCCCCCCCCTGCCTACTTTGATTATTCAGTGTGCTAACGGCGAGCCAGACGAAAAAGATCACAAAGGGTCGCCAGCCATCCTCATCGAATGGAGAATCTCAGGAACCTCCCAGCGCCCCCCTTCAAGGCCAGTTCCCGGTCTCGTCGCAGCCACCAGATGTTCCCGTCGACCGTAACATGCACGGCGATCTTGTTGCTCGTGCGGCGCGTGCGGCGCAGATTGCTCTTCAAGGCCACGGATTAAGGCGCTCTCAACAGCAGCAGCAGTACCAGCAACAGCAATCTCAGCAGAACCAACAACAGCCACATCAGGTGCACCAGCCCCAGCAACCTCAGCCCCAGCAGCACCATCAGCAACACACAATTCACCAGCCCCAGCAGATGCCGCAACAGCAGGTTCCTCAGCACGCACAGCCGCAGGGCGGTCAGATCTTGCATGGGTACTCTGCTGCTCAGCCGACGAGTCAGATGCCACACCAGCAGACTCACCAGCAACCTTACCATCACAGTCCAGCGCCGTCTGGCTACCAGCACCCGCCCAGCCAACTCACATTCCAGCCAAGCCCTCTCCAGGCCAATTTCCAGCAATACAGCCATGTGACCCCCGCATCGATTCCGCGACCCAACTCGGCTGCTGCCAATCACGGATACATGCCCGGGATACCACATTATTCTCAATCGCAACCCACCCAGGTCCTCTACGAGCGGGCTCGCATGGCAGCATCTGCCAAGTCATCGCCTAGCAGCCGCAAGTCCGGATTACCTAGCCAGCGTCGTCCCTGGACTACTGAAGAGGAGAATGCGTTGATGGCAGGGTTGGATCGCGTCAAGGGACCTCACTGGAGTCAGATCCTCGCCATGTTTGGCCCTGGAGGAACCATAAGTGAAGCCCTGAAAGATCGTAACCAAGTCCAGCTCAAAGACAAGGCTCGCAACTTGAAGCTGTTCTTCCTTAAGAGTGGCATCGAGGTGCCCTACTACCTGAAGTTCGTCACTGGTGAATTGAAGACTCGCGCCCCAGCCCAGGCTGCCAAGCGGGAAGCCCGCGAGCGGCAGAAGAAGCAGGGCGAGGAAGACAAGGCCCATGTGGAAGGCATCAAGGGTATGATGGCTCTTGCCGGCGCCCATGCTCAACCAGTTGGTCTGGGTCACGGACACGATGCCATGTCTGCCTCCCCTGGATTGACCCATGACCCGAATGCTCATTCCGCTTTTGACCAGACGGCGGAGCAGAACCTGATGCAGACCCTCGGTCAAGAGGTGCATGGAGAGTCTTTCGGACAACCCCAGCATCATCATCATCATCACCAGCATCACCCGCACCCGCATCATCAGGATCAGATTGATCCGAATATGCATTTGGGTCAGTGATGAGATCGAGGTTCATGCTCAAACACCAATCAACTTCACTTCTCGATCGTGCTTCTTTCCTCCCTTGATCGAGTTGTATTATTTCTTATGGTTCTTTCTTTTCTCTTCTTCGCCGGGGATTCTGAGCGGTTTCACTGTCTACGACTGTCTATTTCTGTGATTCTTTGGTGGGACTGTATGAGGGTTGATGCATATGGTGCGAATGGTGCACGAAGCTGTAGGAGTATCTTGCGGATTGTACAACATTAACTGAATAATCATGTTTTCTCATTTACTTACTTTCTGTCTTTGTGTTTTTTTTCCCCCCTTTTCACTGAACAATACTAAATGAGAACAAATAAGTCTTTGTTGATAATGAAAGTGTCTAGCTAATGCTTGCCAGTTGGCTGTCCTGTAGCAAGTAGGTAACTAGTTCGCAGCAGTCGGGCCGAACGCGGCCAAGAGAGACAGGCCATGCTCTGCTCCTCCGCCCCAACCACCGCGGCAGTTGATAATTCAATTCTATCCCAGGTCACTTTCCCATTCATTCACTCCCCCCAGGAAACCCCCGTATCACCTCCAATCCCAATCAGGCGCTGCGATAACACAATTGCAGGGATTATACTTGAACCTGTATAAATTGCTTCAATACTGCTGACCTTGCATTCACCGCCGACGCCTTCCCCTCTCACCCATTGGACTCCCTTGCGCTTCCCCATTAGCCACTGCCAACCATGGCCGAATCATCGTCATCACAGCCTGCTGTTCCGCCTTCATCGCAACCTCCTCCTCCTCCTCAAACATCATCATCGACTGCAGCTTCCTCCTCTACGCCCGTCCCTCCTCCATCCAGCCAACCCCCTGTCACCTCACCCGGCACGGTAGTGCCCAAACAAGAACCCGACGTCGCCGATAGCAACGCCAATAAGGTCTTGGATGCTCCAACTGAGCAAGAAGACGTCGACATGACCAACGCGCCCAGCACCAACGCCAACGCCAACGCCAACCCGACTGCGACCAGCGGCGCTGACGATGTGGGCAATCCGGTTCCCGCGCCGACCTCCGTGGACGCACTCGCCGCCGCCGCTGCGCCGTCTAAGAAGGAGACCAGTCTCCGGGAGTTTCTAGGGAAGATGGATGAATATGCACCTATTGTACGTTGTCTACCCGGCTGCTCCCCTCGCTTTTCTCCCACTGTCCAGCGTCCTCCATCCACCCCGACCCCGCCGGTCACTAACTACTCCATACCATCCGTCCATTCACAACTGTGTCCTTCTCTAACAGTGACATCAAATCATTAGATCCCCGACGCCGTAACAGCACACTACCTCACGCTGGCGGGCCTCCCACCCCCCGGCAACGGCCCCAACCAGACCCCGCCGCACCTCGCGCGCCTCCTCGCCCTCGCCACCCAGAAGTTCATCGCCGATATCGCGGCGGACTCGTACCAGTACGCTCGCATCCGCGCGTCCAACAGCTCCTCCGCCAACAACCCGATGGGCAGTTTGAACGCCGCCTCGGGGTTGGGCATGCCCGGTGGTGCCGGGGGTGTCGGGTCGACAGGCGCGGCGACGGGGCCGTCGGGTGGAGAGGCAGGCAAGGGGAAGGCGGGCACACATCTGGGCATCCAGAGGCCCGGGTTCGGCGGTGGAGGGTCCGGAGGGTCGGGTCAAGGTCGGACGGTGCTCACCATGGAGGATTTGGGCATGGCGGTTGCGGAGTATGGGGTTAGCGTTAAGAGGGGGGAGTTCTATCGGTGAACGGGGCTTGATGATTGTCGGTTGAAGATAGGCGTGGAACAGTGGGCTCTTATACTAAAAGCGGGTTTGGTCGGTGAGCAGATCTTCCTACGGGGGCTATGTTTGATATGAAGTTCTCTTCCTTCTCTTTTGAGGGGCAAGGCTGGCTGGTTTGCTGAGTTGATGCCATGCTTGTTTTTCTCTTCTTGCAGTCCTCCTTGGTCGGGGGACGCTGGGTTGTCTGTTTGATGGCGTATGTTGTGGCGTGAGGGGGTGGTGTGTTTCCTGAACGATAGATATCCTGCATGCTGGGCCTTGGGCCTGCACAAATCGGAGTATGGGTGTTTTTTCTGGGGCGGTTTCAATTCTACATGTATATGCAATGCCAAATAATACCCTTACGATCGATCCTCTTTTAGCAGCAGACTTTGGGACCTTGAATCCTCATGTGTCATGGATAGATAAATAATACATAATATACATAGCCATCCCTCTTTCATCTCTATCTCTTTTACCGAGACCTTTCTCCAGCATATCAAGCACAAAGAGAGGGGGAAAAAACGCCAAACACAAACTAGAATGCAACTTCAGTTTCAACTTGCACAGAGCCCATCTCCCACTCGCGAAAAACGAGAGATTCCAAGCTGCGCAAGTTCGCAAAAAGCCCAACCATAAGAAGAATAAAGGTATCGACAGACAACCCCAGACAACCCCAGACATGCCCCCATGCCCCCATGCCTCCGGAAAGAGACAAGATCTATTTGTTCTTGGACATCTTGTAGGTGAAACGCTTGCGAGTCCTAAACCCCCAAACCCAACCGTTAGCACGCATGCACAATCTCCTTTCGTAAACCGTTATCCTTGCTCCATTCCAACCAGCACCCTCACCCTCATCTTCTCCCCCCTCGAACCCGTCCAAACCAACCCCAACCAAGCAGAACACAATAAGAGAAGAGGAGGGGGAACATACGGCACGAACTCCCCTAACTTCCGGCCCACCATCTCCTCGGTAATCAGCACGTCGTGGTAGGTCTTGCCGTTGTGGATCGAGAACTTCAGCCCCACGAAGTTCGGCAGGATGGTCGCGGCGCGCTTCTGCGTGCGGATCGGCGGCGTCCCCGGGGGAGCGGGCAGTTTGCGCGGGAGTGGGAGACTATAATCGTTTAGCTTTTGCCCGAGGCGTTTGTTGGTTTGTTGTTGGGTTTGGGATTTGGGGGGGGGGGGGTTGGTGGGAGCGGGTGTTTGACGGCGGTAGCAGTCTCCTTGGACCGTATGCCATGGAGTGTGTGTGGGCTTGGGTTTGGGCTTGGGTTTGGATCCTGGGCAGGGAAAACGTACGGGACGATGTTCGGGCCTGTTTGATGGGATTGTTAGTGAGCTGGATTCAGTGCTGATTATACTGGATGAAGGGCAAATAGAGGAGTGACTGACCTTTCCAGACGGAGCGGCTGAGGAGGGCTCGCGTGGGGAACATCTTGAGAGGAGAGAACCTTCTGTGGTGTAGGTGGTTTGCACCTGGTTGCGCGAAGGGGAAAATTGTTGGAGTCGACGGGCGGGCGGGCTGGGCGGGCCTTGGATAGTTGCAAATCGGTCGGCCGGCGGAGGAGGTCTGCGCGCGGAGGTGATTATGTAAGATCTTGGTTGGGCTTCCGCCCGCCATCTATCTATCTATAAGTATGTGGCGGGACAGGTGAGGTTCGCTATTCTACTTACTACTGGGATTTTAGCAGAGGAGAGATGTTTCATATTTGTTTTCTTTTTTGGGTGTAGTTTTATATCTGCGATGGGTTCCATTTTGATGATGCTAAATGCTCGGGTGTTGTATGGTGGAAAATGGTGCTATTCCTAAAGCCGCCAGCGACTGTAGTGGTTTTCCAAACTGCAACTATTCTTACAATTACTCCAAGGCGAGTTCCTCCAGTATCCGAGTCAAGCTCCTGATTCCGTTCAGGACGTTCTCGTCCGGTCCCTGGCCAGGGGTCCAGCTCGCATGCGCAAAGTCGATCAGCCGCAGGTCATGCACTTTAGGGGGGTCCTCTTCGTCCTCGTCGAGATCCAGCTCCCCCAGCTCTGCGACTTCGGGGCCGAGGTTGATATTGATAGCCTGGTGAGAGACGCTGCCTTGGCCAATGGGTATATCAACCACTTGGAAAGACCCCTCGGAGATCTCAAACTCGACGTTCTCGTCCTCCTCTTCGTCGTCATCTTCCTCTTCTTGCTTCGACTGGGGCTTCTGCTCCTCTTCCAGCGCCTTCTCCATGGCGTCCGGATCACCCTCGTAGACAATCAGCACACTCGACGAGTACATGCGACTTTCCTCGGACTCCAGAACCTCCTGCACCTGTTTCAATTCCCCAGCTAACCGTCGCGCGACCAGCTGGGTCCGATCCATAGCCCCGGCTTTGGCCCCAGCGAGGAACGCCCGGAACCCGTCCTTGATGTTGCTCGCCGTGAGCGAGCGGCCGTACCATTTATCATAGCGCTTGTAGCCGTCCGCCTCGATGACCTGCCCTTTGGCGCCCTCGGCGCCCTCGTACTTCGTCGCATACGGGTCGGTCCGGCTCCCTTCGTCGGTCTCCCCACTCACGCCCGTCCAGACTTTCATCCCCGCGATGCGAAACCCAAGCGTGGAACTCGTTGTTTCCTTGGACACCGCGTCCAGCTTCGCGCGCTTCAAGGGCGGCGCGTCGTCCGCCCAGAGCCGCGCACCCAGCTTCACGTCCAACACATTGGGTCGTTTGAACCCCGCAGCCACGTTCTCCAGCACGATCGAGATCCCCGTCTCGAGTTTCTTTCCGTTGGAGGGAACCCACGACGATTCCGCTGCTGCTGCTGTCGGGCTGCTTGAGCTGGCCGTTTCGGGGGCTGCCGTCACTATGGGGGTCGCTGTCGCTACGGCCGCTTGGGCTTGGGATGCGACGGTGGCCGTAGGGGTATCCGACGCGGAAGAATATTCCGTGCCGGGCAGCATGATGGCGCCGGCTTGCTGGGCCGCGGCGAGGGCCAGAGGCTGCTGGTCATTCGCGGAAGTTAACGTGCCGATATATGTGGGCAAAAATTCTTGGAATGCCGGGTGTAGGGCGCTGGATTCGTAGAACGCGACTTCTTGAGCGGTGCAGGGCTTCGCGATGAAGGTGCCGGATACGGTACACTGGACGCCTTCGCTACAGCAGGGTTTCTTGTTAGTAAGTTCGCCGAAGCTTCAATTCTAAGGACGGCAAGGATTTAGGCTGCAGAGTTGAAGCGATATCGTGTTATGTTGGTTGCGACAAGGGAGAGGGATGCGACAGGGAAATTTGTTGCGGCACACTCACTGTCCGGCGGCGGCATGGTCGAAAGCCACGAAACTGTCGTGGTCCAGCTTTGCGGTCATCGCGTTCTCTGATCGCGAAGAGGATTGCATGATGAAGGGTATTCAGAGCACAATAACAGGGAGGTCAATCACTGTCCAACAGAGACCGATGGAGTTTAGACGGCATTCCGCATGAGTCACGGAAAGGGACGGAGATTCAGCAGGCGGGAAGTTGCAGGGTCGGAGGGTTGGGAGAAGATGAGAAGGAGAGGGAAATCCTCCAAAAGTGGGTCAAGGAGGGAAAAGAAATATATTCCTGTTAGAAGCAAACAAATGCCTAGCAGGGGGTGGGGGAAAGGAAAGGAGAGACAAGCCACAACAGGCGGGTTGGTTGGTTTTTGTTCTGGGTTGGCACTGTCAATAATAATGAGAGAAGTAAATGGAAAAATGTCGGGGAAGCCGGTCTGAACCCCCAAACAAGGCTGAGGGGCATCGATCATCATTTAATCCTATTAAAAATCCACATCACGGGGATATTTCACTACGAAAGCAGAAAGTCAGCCTGGAATCTCACAGCCTGGCTGACACGATGCGCTTTAGCATAAGATCGTCTCTTATGCTGACTGGATCTGGTGGCACAAGGCAAGAATAAGTTAATCTCGCCTGCTTTCTATACTTCTGAATGGTCTGCCGTCTGCCGCTCAACTCTTTCGGGTGTCTACAACTCTCGACTGCCTGAATTTGTGTCGAGTTTAATGGCTGCATTTGTCTTGAGACTGTTTCTCAAGCATCACATGGCAACTGACTATCTGTATACTTCTGCAATGTGCGGCGATGTACTGTACTATAGAGAGTAGGAGGTAAGTTACTACTTGTCTTAAGGTATTTTGTATAGTGCACACACTTGTTCTTGTCTTTGATACCATCATTGTATCAAAACTCATCATAATACTTTCATACTACTTTCATCTTACTTTGCTACAAAACAAACAAGTATCTATCGATGTTGTATCTTGTCTCAGCCTGTATATCGATCAGAAATGTCCAAGACTGCCAGTCTACAAACAGGCCGAGGCAACCTGCATGGACAACAACCCATTCACTGACGGTATCATGAGGGAGCCACGCCCTGCCCTTTCCTTCACTGCAAAATCACTGCCAGCAACTCTTCTCCTCCCTTATGATTCTCATTCTCTTCGACTCCATCATTTACCCTCGTTCTTTTCGTCCGCCCGTCTCGTCTCTTCTCGTCTCTTCATCTCATAGCTTCTAGTTTCCTCTTAGCAAACTACCTTTAACACCTTCCTACTCGAAGATTCGAAATGGAAAACAAGGAAGAAACTTCGTCTTCTACGCATCTTTCTACCTCGGACTCACTGAAACAGGCAGAAGATGCTCAAGCTCAGTTGGCCTCGGACACGGCTCACACCCTGGACCTCGAATCCACCGATTCAGTCTCCACGAAGGCGCAGGTCGATAGTATCGGGGAACAAGAAGTTCCGGGATTCTTCGAAAATATCATCAAGCTCAAGAAAAAGAAAAAGAAAAGCAAAAAGCCCAGGAGCAAGCGTAGCCTGGTTTGTCTGTGAGAACTCACGTCCGAGGACTGAGCTGACTGTAACAGGGCAAGCCCACTGGCTTTGAGGAATACTACGTCGATGCTCCCATGACACCAGCTCAGTATGAGACTGAGCAGGTGATATACAACCCGTATGTAAATTACACCATGTCTCTCAGTTCTCTTTCGGCTAATTGTGTGTCACAGGTCTCGACCCATCATTCAGTAAGCCTTTCATGCTGACGGAACACTCGTGATGCTGATCTGTGATAGTCGGATTGAAGATGCCTTGCAGCGCTACCAGAACAATCGCCGCCTCGAGAATTTCCGCAGGGATATATTCCTGAAATACTTGGCCTATGGGGGTGTGGACGTTTCTCCGAGAATGTTCGCAGGCTCCGATCAAAAAGACCTCCAGGACCTTGACAGCGAGCAGATCCTTCAGACTAGAACGCAGACCAGCATCCCAAGAGACACAGCAAACCTAGCCATCGACTTTGATGCGGTGGTTCGGGGCTATCTGTAAGCACTGGCCTAACTCAAAGTAAATTGTCGCTGACAGCGAACAGGACCTCCTACT